GCCAAAAATGCAAAAATTCATATAAATTCACCTGTCAACCAACTTGGTAAAACGAATGATGCAGAATTTCTAGTTTTGATGAGTACTTTCAGAAGCGATTGGTTAAAGTGAGTCCCTCATCCATGACCGAAAAAATGTTGCACAGTGTAACATTTCACTACAAGGGACGAAATATGATCTTTTATGGTTGACTCAACATCTCGATAAAATTAAAATAATTCATATTTAAATAAGTTCTTTTTGGCATGTCATGTAAACATACTTTTATTGAATCATCAGTCTACTTCGTTGAACAAGAAAGAAATATATTTTTAGTCACGATGTACTCACACAAAAGTAATTTTCTAATACATACAAGTGAATTTGTAGTGAGTTCTTGATAATAATTTTCATTTTTACTTTCAATTCATTTGCCATGTCAAGTATATCATGCTTTGAGAAACCCATATTGAATTGAGAGGGAACAAAATGAAAATGGAATAAAAGCGGCTCGTAATCTGTTGAATAATTCAGTTTTGTAGTTTGCGCAGTCTCTACATCTCTTTCAGTGTATTCGTTAAAGTGTTAAGATTCGTCTCAATTACAATGAAGTGCTGCTTGATTTTGGCTATTTTTCTATTCGATATTGGTGAGCATGATTTATGTTTTCTCTTCAACACCTTTGCGATTGAGATGCTGATTTTCTTTGCTTCTTTATACAGCAAAACCTCCCAATAGTGGACTCGCTCCGGCCGAAAATTGTTTCCATTATCTCGAGGTTTCTCTTAAACAGAGGTTTCACTGTTGGGAGGCTTATAATGCTTTAAAAATGTGTTTTCCATTAATTAGAGGTTCATTGTGCGTTTATTTGATGAAATCCAACAGATTGAAGGTACAAACCACGCATATATCGCCTTATCTGAAATATTGATCGAAACAGTACTATTTTTTCGAGTGTGATTCAGTCACAGCTGATTTACTTCGCTCACGAATCTCAAGTAATGTTCATCACAATAAATAAACAAGAATAATTAATTTTCCAATCAATATTTTAGAGAATCTGTAGAATGAAAATACGTGTAAATCATATGCACACAATTTGGTTTTGCTGGTGAAAATGCAAAAAAGCATTTTTATGCAAGAAAAAATCGGTCAAAAAGAGCAATTTTCCCTTAGCTAGAGGTAAAATTTCCCTTATTTGGAGCCTGAGGCTCCAAATTGGAGGTCATTTCGAAGGAAAACTTCAATGGCCGAATTTTTTTTACACTAACTCGAGGTTTCTCTCAAACAGAGGTTCCACTATTGGGAGGTTTTACTGTATATCTTACAATCTGAATATTTCAAAATTTGTACCTTTATTTCTGCAGCTTTCGCATCGGAAGGTTCTTGTAAGCCTGACCATATAAACTCGATGACATTTTTCAACGATGGTGAAATACAAATAGAGTTGAATGGAACCACTTTTAACCAAACCTACCATGTTTCGGACAAATTCGCTGTAAACATGCAATTACCTCTTCTGTTTGCATTTGCTTCGCATAGTTCATCATAGTTCAGCTTTATACAAGTGAATGTAATAAATAAAATGGCGGTTTTGCTGAGTTCAAATGATTCGATACGAATCACCACAAATCGAACCTGTGTATCAACACGATTGATTTTCATAAAATGGAAACGAATTAATTTTGGAAAAATACTTCAAAAATGCATTTTTATCTTTTAAATGTTATTTAATTTTAATTTGTTGAATTTTTCTTCATTTTTTTCGCGGAATAAAATTGTGAAAAGTATTTTTGTTGGTTTGAATAAAAAAGATGTAGAAATTCAATCATAGAAAAAGCGTGAAAAATGAATGACACTTAATTTTGTCACCAAAATTTAATTCTCATTTCAACTTAAAAGGTAAAAATGAAGTGAAGCTTCAATATTATTATTATTATTATTTATTACGGAGCCTACATTTATGCCAATATGTGTTCCCAGCAAGCTGAGAACATGCTGGTCAGAGACCCAATACGGCATAAATTCCGTCCATGGTGCGTCTTTTGCAAAGAGAATACAGTCAGGGGAGGGATGATATAAAAGTGAGGCTTTCATACCAGAATTGGGTCCGGAAAACCATGGCAAAACCGGCCTGACTCGGGAGAATCAGGGGAATAACATCATAATTTTTGTCATACACTACTTTATACAATGCAAAGCAAAAAATAGGAAGATGAAAAAGCAAAAGCGATAGAATAGAGAAAGTTAATTGGGTTAATGGAAATAGATCTTAAAACTATGTGTTAGTAGATTGATGAGATCAAGCATATCAGTCAAATCGAGTATTCAATAAAACGAATTACATACGTAATCCAAACTTTTCCGCTCCGCAGCAATTTAGTTTACCTCCCGCTTAATGTTTAACCAAAATTTCAATAGACCCTTTTTTCGTAGCATTTTTGACCTTAAAATATAACTATTTAGACCATTTTCCATACAAAAGTGTCATTTTCGAACAAAATTTCAAGAAATGTTGATTTCGGACCAAATTTATGGGCAAGTAGGTGTTCGGTTGTTCGAAGGCTCCCATTATTCTGGCAAAAAAATATCAGTTTGCTTTGACCAAAACCCTAAAAAATGGCTTTCTGAGTAATTTTTTATACAAATGTCTATTTTTCGAGGAAAATTTCAAGAAATGTCGATTTTGGACCAAATTTATGGGCAAGTAGGTGTTCGGTTGTTCACAGACTCCCATTATTTTTGCAAAAAAAATGGCAGTTTGCCTCGATCGAAACCCTGAAAAATGCTTTTTTCGGGTACTTCCCGTACAAAAGTGTCATTTTTCAAGGTTTTTTAGGTCCTCAGTCGGAGGCTTATGGTACGAAATTGGTAAATCAGAATGAACTCAAAATCAATCCGAAGCTTTATCTCGACATGCCAAAACTTTTGGCTTTTACAGATCTCAATTATCTTGTCAACTTTTTGAGATAATCGGCGAACAAAAAGCTCGGACGCGAACGCGGACGCGAACGACGCCATACGCACATCGCTATTTTGCACATATTTCATAGTAAACAACATGTTTTTGGGGGTACATAGGTCTTGATCGATAGGATTTCATCCCATCTACATTGCCTAGTGTACAGATATGTGCTTCTTCAAGTATGGCGTGACGTTATAGTGGTCCGAAAGAGGAGATGTCATGAAATTTTGTAAAATGGAATTAATTAAAAAATGTATTTTTTCTGAGTAATCAACATACGCTATAAAAACGGTGGTAAGTGAAACAAGGCTCCAATTCAAATCTGACAGTTGAAAAGTACACGCGAAACATATTTCGAACAAAAACTCTGTGTGAATAATTTTAGTTGACAACTGAAGAGTGCTGAAAAAATATTTCAAGTGAAAAATGGCTTTGGGAGTGATGTCGAAATTCGCGTTTTACACTTCTCACGTTATCAAAGGACTGTTCGAGATTGCCGTGGGAACAGAAGAGTTCATTTACGATGACAAAGGCAACGTCATTGCGAAATTACCATCCAAACTTAAACAAGTTTTGGTATTCGCAAAGAATTTTCTCGTAGAACCGGAAAGTTTCAATTAATTTTTTGGAGGATTATTTAAATAGGTTTGATTTCAAAAGTTTCAAGTTTCGAATTCAGAAGTGAACTCCATTCAAAACCAATTTTTCGATTTTTCGAAAGGAAACACTTTTCATTCAGTTTTTATAAAAAATATCAATTATTTTTCATTGACAGGTGATGTTGGGCGCGATCTTTCCTAGTTCACAATAAAGCTGCTCACGAACCGAACTCGAACAGTTCGAGTTCGAATTTTTTTGAATTTTGTGTTCGTGTTCGTTCGGGTTCGGTTCGAACTGTTCGAAACAAAATAAGTTATGTTCGTGTTTGTTCGAGTTCGATTTCAATTTGTTTTGAACTGTTCGAGTTCGATTCAAGTATTTCGAATGTTGAATGAAAGTCATACAAACACAGAGTTTCTCAGCAAGTCAAGTCTTCTTACTGAAATGCCGAGAAATTCACACATTAGAAAACCATTCCCGGTCAAACATTCTGAACGCACCACATATTTCTTAAATCAAACCACTTTTGAGGTTATGTTCCATGACAGCTACAAATCCGTGGTGTAAAGTGGTGAAATACCCACAATCGAGTTTTCTGAGTGAAATTACATTTTGTTTTGATGAAATTACATATCGTTTTTATACTAAGAAACTATCACATGATGAATTTTTTTGATTGTGATTTTGATTTTTTCATGAAAAGTATTTTTTTGTGTTTTTTGTTGATTGCGTGGAATAAAAAGACTTGGTGAGGGGCTGGTATCTGAAGAAATTTTATTCATCTGAACGCAAAAACACTATGATTATGATTTTGCCCTTGTTAACGGCAACAAAAAAGAGTTTTAGTTGATTTTTGTCGATTTTTCATCTTTTTTCCAACTTCTAATGGCTATATCTAAAAAAAACAGAGTTTTCCCAGATATAAGCTGTATGTCAAATTTTAGCTTGAGGCTAAATTCCAGAGAATTTTTAAAAAAAATCGTCGGAGCCGTTTTCGAGAAAATGGCCGATTTATGCAAGGCCAGGTGACCATTTTTTTGGGTTTCTGCCCATAAGACCATGCCAACTCAATTTTTTCAAATCAAAATCGCACGTTGATTGTTTCCTCTAAAAAAGGGCGGTAACTTCAAATCACAGCAGAGATATCATCCCGTGATGTCATCAAACACGCAAACCAAATTCCATTGACATTCAAATTCATTGTGATTGACAAATATATAAAACACTCTAAACATGCCATTGTCGTTTCAGTCTTTTGACAACATTCAATGTGCTTGGGCGCTGAGACAAGAATTTTTTTTATTTTGAATTCAATTCCGTAAAACAATCATTTCGACTGAAAAATGACCCAATTACCGTACAAAGTTGGTGAGTTGAGAGTTTTAATTGAAAAATCCAATTTTTTTCTTCGTCCTTCTTCGTATACGAAGGATTTGTATTCAAATTACTGAAAAGATAAACATCAAAACGCACGTGTCGGCATTTTTCTAGGTTATAGTGTGTGTTTGTTTTTTTTAAAAGCCCATCAAATTGATCAGGTAATAATTTTGTGTAAACCCTTTGTCATTTAATAGCTGATATCTCGTTGGCCGAATGGGGACGTAAGGAGATCGTTTTGGCGGAAAATGAGATGCCTGGTTTGATGGCATGGCGCAAAAAGTACGGTACATCGAAACCGTTGAAAGGTGCTCGTATTGCCGGTTGTTTGCATATGTGCATTACAACCGCTGTTTTGATCGAGACATTGACCGAATTGGGGGCTGAAGTAAGTATTTTTGTTCTTTGATAACGAACGTATGATGTAGTGTGGTGTCGTATGATGGCTGGAGCTATTATTATTCATGACTCATGCATCATTTGCAAAATAATTTAAATCAAAATTCGTTCATTTATTTAATCTTGTCTGAGAGAGCATGATTTGCAACTGCCATGGGGTTATCAGATGACATTTTCCGTTTATATTTTTTTCTCAAGTTATTCAGCATTTTTGAATAGAGCGAAAAAGTTTCATATCATTTCCCTATGATCATGCGTTATTTTTTACACGTCTAAAGAGGATGTCCAAACAATTGAGATAATAATAAGTGTTTTTTTTTTGTTTCGTATTGTTAAATATTCCAGGTTCAGTGGTCATCTTGTAACATTTTCAGTACACAAGATCATGCAGCAGCTACTATTGCTGCTACTGGCGTCCGTGTATTTGCCTGGAAAGGTGAAACCGACGAAGAATACCTTTGGTGTATTGACCAGACGCTTGTCTTCCCAAACGGACAACCATTGAACATGATTCTAGATGATGGTGGTGATCTCACTAACTTGGTATGATACGAGAGATTCAATCAATCCAAATTTGATATTGCTGTTCAAAATAAACTGTTTATAAAACGAAATCTCTCAACAGTTCCATGAAAAATACCCACAATATTTGCCCGGAATTCGCGGTATTACAGAAAAAACCACTACTGGCGTTCATAATAATTTGTACAGAATCGTCAAAGAAGGCAAATTGGGAACACCAGCCATCAATGTCAACGACTCAGATACGAAAAGTAAATTCGACAATTTGTATGGATGCCGTGAATTTTGAGCTTGTGCATCATACTGTATGTGCATCTTACCCCACTATTTCAATTTCTGTGAATTTTCTCTATTTAAACAAATATTAAACGGACCGTATACTTAATTTTGTCCAACTCGAAAATCCCGCTTCTAATCCAAGATTCGAAAAATCTGATGAATTACATTGGGCGCTTAGTTTACACTATTTGGTATAAAAAAGCCTTTTGTCTGATTGAAAAAGCATTTAAAAATACACGAAATTTCCATATGAAACCACAATAGTTGGATCCTTAGGTTGGATCGTATACTCAATTTTGTCCATGGCTGTATACATATACATTACTTCCAAATTTCTGATTTAAATTTGAAGGCTTTAGCTGAAGTTCCAGTGGATGCAGATAAGAATTTGGTGTAAACACTACCGTCGAAAAATGTATCATTTTCATTGAACGTAGTTCGCTCATCCCATACTTTCATCTAACACAAACCGTTCGTTTGGGGAATTTCCAACGCTTTGACGGGGTTTTTGGAAAATTTTACATCAAAATCCCAACAAGACCATTCGTACACACTGATCATAATAGTTCTTTTTGTGTTTGAAGAAACGATTATTCTAAATAAACATAGAACTAATTAATCATTTATTTTTATATTTACAAAGTTAAGAAACACATACTCATGCCAGTTTATGAGTGATCTATTCGCAAAAATTTAGAACTGTCAATTTTCACACCACCTTTCCCACTGCTATCATATATGAAATATATGTTATTGATATGCGCATTGCGCATACGACACACATACATACGGAAGCATTTTTAATGTGTGCTCATAGAGAGCAGATATGTGTGTATGAAATACATAGAGATTACTGTCAGGATTTTGACAAAACAGTTCACAATTTTTAATGCAATTTTCTGTGCATTTTTCATAAAAATACTTGACTTTTCCAAATATTGTATTCACCACTAACTTCAATTCTGAATATATATTGATTTAATTCAATTAAAATTCAAGAATTATTACTATTACATATTGACAATGGACTTGAACGAATTTGCTGATAATATAGATGCTGCACGGATAGAAGTGGTGCCAGAATTTCATGAACCATTGAAATTGACAACAATAAACAATGATTGCCAACAATTGATATTCGAGTTCTTGGAATGGAAAGAATTAATATTGCTGCAGCCAGCAACTTTACTCATCGGCGTGTATGGTCTTCAAACGAAAATATGGAAAGGCCAAAATTAATATTACACATCCTGGCGAGTAAGTTGAATTCATATAGTATTTCTTATCTTATCTTATCTTATCTTATAATATTGAACTAACAGAAAATTTGTTTTAGTGACTTTTATAAACAGAAGAATCCAGATATCCTTGTCCCTAATATGTTGACAGCATTCAAAACTCTGCGAAATTTTGGACACTTGATATCAGACTTGGGAATAAACTTATATATGTTTAATTTGGATCGCGGTTCGATTGGGACACACTTTCGAAACTATTTGGCTGAATATTGTTTTGAGTCGATCAGTGAATTATTGATAAGTGGTGGTATACAAACCCAAGAGAAACGGCCAATATGTTTATACGCTGTCTATCCGCCAAAAATACACTACAATATATATTCACGCTTATTGGACGCCGAATTGAATATATATTCTAGTGTATATTCGGTGTATTCTTCAGCGTGAAACATATTGAATCAATGAATGCATTCATGGCCATCAGAGGGCGCCTGAATATGTTTCAATATGTTTCACGCTGAAGAATACGCCGAAAATACCTTAGAATATATATTGAATTCGGCGTCCAATAAGCGTGAATATATATTGTAGTGTATTTTCGGCGGATAAACAGCGTATAAACATATTGGCCGTTTCTCTTGGGAAGTTATTTTTACACAAATGTAAAACCGTTTATTAATGTTAAAGCTCTTTCAATACGGTTTTTACTTTTCCGCAAACTTTGTTTGTATGGAAAAGTATTGGTTTTACTAGCCAAAATTTCATGACATCTCCTCTTTCGGACCACTATAACGTCACGCCAAACTTCAAAAAGCACATATCTGTACACTAGGCAATGTAGATGGGAACAAATCCTATCGATCAAGACCTATCTGCCTCCAAAAATACGTTGTTTACTATGAAAAATGTGTAAAATAGCGATGTGCTTATGGCGTCGTCTGCGTTCGCGTTCGCGTTTTTTGTTCGCCGATTATCTCAAAAAGTTGACAAGATAATTGAGATCTGTAAAAATCAAAAGTTTTGGCATGTCGAGACAAAGCCTCGGATTGATTTTGAGCCATATCCGATGTGACCTTGGGGTACCTCTCTTAAGAAAAACCCTCAAAAATGGTACATTTGTATGGGAGTCACTCAAAAAGGCATTTTTTAGGGTTTTGATCAAAGCAAACTCATGTTTTTTTGCAAAAATAATGGGAGCCTTCAAGGAACCGAACACCTACTTGCCCATAAATTTGGTTCGAAATCAACATTTCTTGAAATTTTCCTCGAAAAATAGACTTTTGCATGAAAAATCACACAGAAAGCCATTTTTTTGGGTTTTGGTCAAAGCAAACTGATATTTTTTTGCAAAAATAATGGGAGCCTTCAAACAACCGAACACCTACTTGCCCATAAATTTGGTTCGAAATCAACATTTCTTGAAATTTTTGAAATTTTGTTCGAAAATGACACTTTTGTATGGAAAATGGTCGAAATAGTTAAGGTCAAAAATGCTATGAAAAAAGGGTCCATTGAAATTTTGGTTAAACATTAAGCGGGAGGTAAACTAAATTGCTGCGGAGCGGAAAAGTTTGGATTACGTATGTAATTCGTTTTATTTTGGTTTGAAAAAGAATTGGATTTTAGTAAACTTTTTCCAAATCTCAAATCTCTCGAATTGCACAGGAATTATTATAAATCCTCATCGGATATTAAAGTTCATTTCACTGGTGTCAAACGTTTGTTTTTCGACGACGATTGTGGAGTTAAGTTTCAAGAAAATGACATTCATGATATGCTGAAATTGGATCCACAGCGAGTAATAAGTAATAAGTAATAACTAGTAAGTGCATCTTATTACAGTAATAAAATGAAAGTAATAAGTAATAAGTTACTTATTACTTCACTTCTATAGTGCCGATAACACCATTGGATTGGGCACATATGAAATACTGTATTAGAATCGAAAAAAATTTTAAACTTTTTTTTTCGATTTTTGCCTGTTTGCGATCGTCTACATGGGAAGTTTGTATGAAATGCTCGGAGAGCGGGTCTGCGTTGCTGTAATTTCATTAGTTTGTATGGTGAACAAGCTGTTGTGTTACGAACAACAGAGCCGGTCGATTCATCTCTCTTAAAAATGACGCGCACTAAATGTTGCACACACAAACAGGAGTGTGCACGTCGCTAAGCCCATAAATCTAATCAACCAATTTTTTTTTCTCGAATCTTCAATTCACTTAACTCGCCACTCAACAAAACTATGGAAGATAGTTAGCCGTAGTTAGCTGTAATTTTATCTCGTCAATTTGAGTGTTGACATTGAATAATCAGTACACGACATCTGAAGTTGTAGCACGTGGATTGGTGTATAATTTAAAAAAAGGACAATGTTATCGAGAAATTCCCATGGCCCGAGCCGTCATGAACATTAATCAAATTTTTGTAGTTTTGCAAGTCTAGATTTTTGCTCAAGTGTTGAATATTCTTCTTGGAATCGAAAGTTGATCCCAAGAGAAATGACCAATATGTTTATACGTTGTCTATCCGCCGAAAATACACTACAATATATATTCACGCTTATTGGACGCCCAATTGAATATATATTCTAGTGTTTATTCGGTGTATTCTTCAGCGTGAAACATATTGAATCAATGAATGCATTCATGGCCATCAGAGGGCGCCTGAATATATTTCAATATGTTTCACGCTGAAGAATACGCCGAAAATACCTTAGAATATATATTGAATTCGGCGTCCAATAAGCGTGAATATATATTGTAGTGTATTTTCGGCGGATAGACAGCGTATAAACATATTGGCCGTTTCTCTTGGGTCCCCGTTTGAATACTGAATTATTCGTAGCTTTTTCAACTATGAATTCCGAATAAATGGACCCACGATCATATTTTTGTTAAGGAAAAATAAAACAATTAACATAGTATATCAAATGCTTTTATCATATTGATTTTTATTCAAGTTTCCTTTGAAATCCAAACTTTGATTACCATGAGCTTTCAAGTTTACTCAATATTTGCTACGATCCAGTCATAGAAAAGCGAAATTCTGGTGAAACCATCTGGTTTTCCACGAGCACAACTGAATAGGGGAAAAATCGTTGGAAATTAACTCAATTTGATTTTTGAAAATCCACTTATTTCGCGCAAATGAAACGATACTTACGCAGCTCCCGTCCAGCCGGCCAAGCCGACGACTTCATCACCTGAGACAAGCGGTCCACCACTATCGCCAAAACAAACCTAGAGGATTTTTGTCAGTTGAATTTATCGAATTTTGATTGTTTCATTTCAATTTTGTTACGGATTCACGCACATTCTCTGCGAATTCATTGCGAATTGTTCACCTTCTATGCTTTGTTACTGTGAATGACAGCTTAGATGGTACCAGCTGTCACTGTTTTGGATCTAACTAATGCGCAAAAAATTCGCAAAACTCACGAATCCCTTTTTAAAGGATTTGAAGTTGAAATGCATAGATAGCACAAATAGATAAGGTTACAAACCCCTTCGCCTTCTCTAGTGAATGTGCACAAGTGGCTGGCATCAACATTGAGATCAGTACCAACATCGGCTTGGCATTTTTCATTCGAAATTGCCGTCAAATTGACCGCTTGCAAATATTGTGGAATTGGCCCTGCAGCCTATGTCGGAATATAGTCAAAATGATTTTATTTTCATATACTATGAGTGCTATATACCACTACGCATGAAAAATATGTTTAGAAAATCATACAACTCACACTCAATTGCCCCCAGCCAGTTGCTAAGAGAGGAGTACCGCTTTCTACGAATTTGGCTGAATATTTGATGGGCTGCACTTTCTCATTAAACTCAATCTTATCCACTTGAATCAAAACGATGTCATTTGCATAGCGTGGTTGATTATATTTTTTGTGAGTAATGATTTTTTTGGGAATGTAACGAGTTCCACCAGCCTGCCAGTCATTTGTTCCGACTAAAATATCGAAGCCGTAAACTCCTCTGTAGAGAAGAGCGAAAGTTGAAGATTAAAATGTTTAAACTTAAACTGAATCTTTCTTAATTATCAATTGAAGAACATTGAGTGGGAACAGTAATTTGTACGTACTGTGCCAAACAATGAGCAGCCGATAGGATCCATTGCTCTGAAAAGATTTTGAAGTTACAAAAAAAATGTCAAAAAATGCCCAAAAACATCGAAAAATTGCGATTATTTTCTCAAAAGCGGCGCATTTTTACGTTTGGTTGTAAAAAAAACATAACCGTGTGCCATACACGACGCAAAAATACATACCTGAAATGATTACACATCCACAAGTGTGTCGATATAAATTCGTATTAGGATTTATTCTCTGCATCGAGCATTGATATGGCGCTTGACCATCTTTGGCAACGATTCCTCCGACAATTCGACTGGACAACGGTGAAAGCTCAACTAATTATTTGAATTGAACGCAATTATTACAACGTGAGAATTTAAATCGAAAATTGTCATAAGTCGGGCAATTTTCTTCATCAATTCAAAAAAAAAAGTTGAAATAAAACGGAAATTCAGAAAACTACAACATACCATTTGCATCCGCTTCTTTAACATCACTTGTCCAATCACTACCAACGGAAGATATTCTGTAATGATATTTTTTTTTTTGAGTGGACATTTTTCTTCCTTCTGAGTTTTGAAAACATTTTTTTTTAACAAATAATCATGTCGACTTTCATGCAAACAAAAACTGGAAACTTTGACAAAAAAAAAAACTTTTAGTACTACTCACAAGCTAGCTGCTTTCAAATTGGCGACACCAAGTCCAAAGAGAAAAACCACCGCAAGAACAAACTTCATTTTGCTGCTTTCCGAAAATTTAATTCGGAACGTATTCAATGTTTACACCTCAAGAAACAAAACGAATTTGAAGAATCTATTATAAAAGCCTCATTATTTATAGAGACTGTCTGAACTTGTAAGATTAAAAAAAAGCAAAGCCCATAAATCTAATCAACGAATTTTTTTTTTCCGAATCTTTAAATCACTTATCTTGACATAATCGCCACTCAACAAAACTATGGTTTTGCGTCATTTCCTCGTTTGATTAAATGTTGACCCGAATAATCAGTACGCAACATCTAAAGTTGAACGTAGAGCACATGGTCAATCCACAATAAAAAAAGAACAATGTTATCAAAAAAAAATTCCTTTGCCTCATGCCGCTGTTTTTATAAATAAAAACGCGAATTTTTCGTCAAAAAAAGGAATTCAATTCTTTGTATTTCGAGAGTGCAGCTAAATTAGAAAATGACATACCGTTGTGAGCATGGCTTCATTGACCGATTGTAGAAATATCAGTATTGATTTGTTAGCTTCATTCATTTCTGCCATTTCTTCGATTGTTGAAGAAAATATTTTGAGCCTTGTTGTGTTTTGAAGTCGTGTGATTCAAACATACTCTATTCAATGTTATTGCACTTGTTTCTACTCGTTCAATCAAATAAACAAGTGAGTCAGTGGAAAAAAGTAGAGCCATCTACAAGACTCTGTCTACGTTGAATTGTCATTAATACCATCAAATGAAACGCCATGTTCAAATGCTAAATTATTTTATTTATTAATTAATTAATTGGTTTTTTTGTCAATTAGTTTGAATACAAATGGTTAACAGTATTATTTTCGATGATTAATTCGAATCTAAGTGTTAGTTTTACAAAATGTCGAAAAATTCTGAAGTTTTTTTTGGAAATGTCGTAGATTTTATGAATAAGCTAAGTTAATAATTCGATAAGTTGTACCGAGGCAGAGCAAATTTCAGGGGTAATTTGTTGTTGTGTGTTCGGATTGTGTTCGTCCGGATCAGAGTTTAAAGTAGTTCGTCTTAATGTAAGAGTTTGAAATTGGATTGGAAAAAAAATTGAAACGGAAAAAAACGTACAAATTGGAAACAACCGATTGAATTGAAAACATTGGCACAATGTTCGTCTCCGTCATAACCTTATTCAATCGGTTGTACGAATTTTTCTGTGTGTATTTTGAACAGTTTTTTTTTTGTTATTTCTCAATTGCTTTATTCGTTGCGTGTCTTAGTCGTCTAAGACGGTAAATTAATTAATTCAATGAAAATACGTAGTTCAGTGCATCTACTGAATAGCCACGTATCCCGAAAATCGAGTGTGTCGTCTTTCGCTCGATCTTCGTGTGTATTTTCATCAGAGTTTTTTTTTTTTGTTTCTTCTAATTTATTCGGTATTAAAGTTAAATCGCTAAATTGTGTCTATCTAAACGAATATAAGCATATCAGTCAATTCATTTAAATCTAAACGAGGTTAAATTTTTTTTTATTATAGTCAAGGCTATTAAGCACTTAAAGATACACTTAAATTAGTGTAAAGGCGAGGTTAGTTTTTTTTTTTTCGTTGAAGGCTTATTTTGGTATTGAATAAAACTGATTTTGACTTTGTTGTATGTTGTTGATATTCGTTCATTCCTTCAGCACCAATCTGATTCATCTCCATTATCGTGGCTAAACTGATTCGCAGCAGATGACGACGACGGCTTCGCTTTATATGTATTTGTGGAAGTTGATGGATAATAACCGCCAGCTTGTCCCATCGCAACGGCTGCCTCAAATGATAACGGCGACATTGGAGTGGCTAGCGCTTCCATTCTGTGGATCACATTAAAATGATTAGCAAAATGGTCAAATTTTGGAAAATTTCAATCAAAATCAACCCGATTTTGATTTACTTCATTTTCTTTCAAATAATTTTTTTTGCTATTTTTGGTGAATTCGTCATGAATTTGTCTCATACTATTTGTACACGGTCGAACTCGTGTGTATGAAGGGAAATAATTTCAATTTAAAACGAATTCATCACAAAAATATTGGAAAATTCTAGAAATTTTCGCTGTGGATAGACAAAATTTAAGTAAATTCATTCACTTTATCATTTGCAAGTCATTTCCTAACCTCTCTCGGTCGAGTTCGTGCTCGAATTCAATCTGTCGTTCATAAAGCTCCCGTTCACGGTCGCGGAAATGATATCCAACGATGTTGTCGTCCAAACTTGTGCCATAATTGTGACGTAACATCGTATTCGGTGCATGCGGAACGGAATGAAGACTGTTTGGCGTGGCTAATGAATGCTGCAGCGGGCGATTAAACTGAAATAAAATTCGATGTAAGCATTCGAAAGGGAGTTTACACCGGTTTTCTATCGATCGATCGATTTTCCGAAGAAAAAACGTTTTTTTTTTCTATTTTTTCGGAAACATCGACGTTCGGTATGTTCATTGACAGAAGGTAAAAAAAAGTCTTATTGTTGAACAAAAGTGTCAAAATTCGTCAATACGCTTACAATTGAGGGACTTGGATTCAAAGCAGGTAACCGAATGCTTGTTTGTGGCAATTGTAACGTCATTGGCTTGTTTGGGGTTGCCGTTAAATGATGCCTGTATATTCGTCGTGTTTGATAGCATTGTTGAGCTCCATCACCTTGAAAAAGAGTAATTTAGTACAATTTGCAGGATTGAACAACATTGAAAATTCGTTAGTTTTTCATCAATGGAGTGTGATTTTCCGACTCAAATTCCATACCTGGATGCCGTCGAACATTGTATGCATTTGGACTGGGCGATCGTGATCTCGTTCCAAGATTCGTATTTCCAAAATAGTAGTCTGTGTCATCGTACCGGAATCTGTCGCCTCGAGACGGTGAATGGCCAGGACTTGATGAAGCTGACCAGGTGTCTGTTTTTGAGTTTCGTTGAAAAAAAGAACGTTAGAAATGATAACGTAGGCAATTTACATAGCACTGTAAGTGACATAGGTCAATGACCTATTAGGTCATGATTTACCTCTGTACGGCACATTGCTGCGTCGAAAACGGGCTCTGGCTCGTCGCTTCTCCTGAATATAGTCAATGGATTCATTTCTTGCATATCGATCGAACTCTCGCTCATACATTTCTCTCCTGAATCGGACGAACAAAAAAAAATGGAATGAATTGAATTGAACTAAATTCGATTTTATCATCTTATTTAAAATTCAATTCGATTTAGTTCAATCAATAAATACATATTGAAGAAATCAAATTCTTATTAAACTTGAAATGAGAGTTGAATCGAAAATCGTTGAATGATGTGAAAAGAGTAAATAAGTGCATAGTTAGAACTCACCTTGCTCGAGGTGACATCATGCCAGTTTCCTCCATTGGCATATCCATAACATGCGGCATCTCTTCCCCTTCCACGTGATGACCATCGGCCAGATTAGCTAAATGCAATGACTTCAATTGAAATTTTGGAAAAGAATTCAATTAATTTGGAACAACTCTGATCTGAAGTCTTATATTGATTAGGCAGAACGAATTTGTGTTTAGCAATTAGACAAAAATTCATAACGCCATTGATTGTCCAGTTGTAAGAAAAAAATCGAATATCACTTACACCTAAATGAGTTTGTGTTTTGCCGAATCGTGTAGTGCGCCATGACTCAAGTATCAAAAGGCCTGCATAGATTTTGCCCGTTGTCAACGTTCTTTTGTCTCCAATTTCTCGCCGTGGAACCAAAAGATCCGTCATTTTATCCGCTTGCAATGGCCAAATCATTCGAATCGTTTCTCGAAGCTCATCGTCAGCAATGTCCATCTCTTCGGCTACAGTGAATTGAATGAAAATGACAATAAATCGAATTTTAAACACAATCGAGATATCTGATTAAGCTAGCATAATTAAAATGCAAAAAATCAATTACGTGTTCTCATTTTGATGGCCAAATTCTCCCGGATCAGAGCAAACAGCGTCGTTGTGAAGCCAACCCTTTGGTCATCGTCCATCGGCATATTCATTCGAATCAGTTTCTTGTACGCAACACGATTCGGACACTTATTACCGAAACCAAGTGGCGGATCGATGTTTTTCAACATTTCGTACACTTTTTGATATGCCAATTTTCCGCTGGAAGAAAAACGCATTTTTGAATTAGTTTAGTGCAGGACGAGAGACACCAACGCTACTTTCCTAGTTTTTACTATTTTATTCAATAATTCCCTAATTTTCATCTATTTTTGCTAGTTTAGTGTTTTCTTCATTTTCAAAATTCGTGCATTTTTCAGCCTTCTATCGCCGACTATCATTACGATTACTTAAGTTCATAAAAAAAATTCTACAAAAATATTTTCATCCATATTGGGCCTACTTATTCAAAGTTACAAATTTACTTTTAAACGTGCACAAATTGAAGAATTTCCTTCTACAGATTTTAAACCCGATTAAAAGGATTCTGACAACTTCAACAAACAAGTGAAATGAAACGTCTTACTCAGCGTTCAAGTCATATTCGCCCCAAACTCGTACAAATTCATCCAAGTGATGTGCACCTAAAATGCTAGAATCTCGCGTCAAATAGTCAAAATTGTCCATAATAACAGCAACGAATAGATTCAACATCTGAAAATTGACCAACAGATAGGCATTATCGCATTGCATTTTACTTGCATTTCAATGAAATTCAATAAAAGCTATCGCAATTTTCTCAAATATCAAAAAAAAACTCACTAAAAATGAACAGAGAAAGATGAATGATACAAAATAGCCATAAGACATTGGAGAGCCGCATTCTTCCTCTTCTCCATTTTCCTTCTTCTCAACATTTGGATCACATTTTCCCGGTAAGCACGCCAACATTATGCTGTTCCACGCTTCACCCGTTGCACATCTGTGAACAAAATTCACAATTTTTGAGATTTTGAAATCAACTGTCATTTGATTGGCCTACCGAAAGAGCAGCATCAATCCACCGAAAAATGTTTGAAAATTATTGTGTCGGCTTATTTCTGTGTTTGGATCCAGATGGAGATTTCCAAATAACTGCTCCGGAAGGAAGAAAAAACAAGAATTAAAAAAAATCTCAAAATTTCTTTGGAAAATGTTGCCAAGATAAATATGCTTGTCAAAGCACCCACCTGCATTCCAACGACCGAGTAGATGAAGAACAGCATGGCGATGAGTAGACAGACGTACGGCAGTGCTTTGAACGACTGAACAAAAGTCCACAGCAATATTCGAATGGAATAGCTCTGTCGCAACAGTTTGATGAGCCGTGATGCTCGAAACAATCGCAGAAAGCCCAAGTTGAATGTGTTCGCCTAGTGTTTATTGTATTCAGTGGAAATGGTTTTGTTTGAGCGATTGTGTTTTTCGGAATTACAATGCTTGGAAAAGAAAATGTTCTATTCGGAAGAATTCAAATTTGGCCATTCACACAGCATTGGTATTATTATTTTTTTCAGCCAAAAGCACGAAACATGCGAATAAAATGGATGAAACTGTAATAAATTGGTTTCGATAATGAAATTGAAGAAAAGAAAAATAGTGTGATTAGTGCGAATTTACCGGATGCACAAAAACTCAAAAGCTACTGAAAATGTATGAACAAGTGAGTTTTGCTAAGAAATCTAGAATTTGTGCAATTTTTTTTTTTTTGATTGATTGATTGATTTTTGATTCTCGTTTTGCGCCAACACAATCCGATTTTTAATACTTGCCACCCATGCCATCATCTCTTCCGTGCTTTTTATATCTTTGTAGATAATCTGCAAATGAAGATTTTTTGATGAAATTTTTTTTAAATTATTTGTGTGTGGAGAAGGAAAAAACGATTTGATCGTATTCAGACTCAGTTGCAGAAAAAATGTTTTAATACATATTTTTCAAACAATTTTTTTCTTAAGACTACGGTATATCTTGATGATATCTTGATGAATTAAAAAATAAAACGTGAGCTATTTACCTTTTCTTTAATGTCCGCCTATAAAAAAAATATTGAAAAATTAATTCAGATACATTTCACAAGCTTATTCAATAAAAAAAAAAAATAAGAAATTTAGATTGAAGTTAAGCATGGAACATTTACCGTAAATTCTGATATGACAGCATCGACAATGCTGCCGATTACAGTGATAAAATCAAATGTATTCCAAGCATCTTTGAAGTAATTCTAGCGAAATATTGAGAAAAAATGATTTTACTTTGGTTTTTTGGTGCAAGATTATTGATGAATTCTTTTGATAAAAGTTGATTTCAAAATTTGAAGACAAAATGTGGTGAGTTTTTTTTTCTTTTTTTTTTTGAGGAAACTCAAAATTCAAATTAAAATGAAGGAAGTTTAATTTTTTTGTTACTAAATTTTGAAGTTATGATATGAATTTAATGTGATAATTTTACCTTAATGCCAAACCCGAGAATTTTTAATATAGATTCTATTGAAAACAGTGTGGTGAACACAATGTTGATGTATCGCATAATCTTTTCGAAACTTTCGGATTGTCCGTGTGACTGTTTTGAATGGAAAAGACATGTTAAGTGTATCATGATTATAATGTATGAATACTTCTGGATTGAAGAAAAATAAATCTTTTGTTAATTCAAAATAAAACGAGTTGAGCAATTAGTAAAGCAAGACTCATTCATATACCTTCATCATTAAAAGTAGTGTATTTAATACGATTAACAGCATAATAAAGTAATCAAAAGGCTGTGACACAACCATGCTCCATATTTTATATTTGAAATGTTTGTGCATTGGTGGAATGTACGTGGCAAACGGTCGGGCATTGATAGCGAAGTCCATACATGATTTCTGGAAGATAAATCGTTTTTATCAATATTTTTCATTTTTTACCACTTTTTAATTTGTTTCACTAAATTGGTAGGTATTTGAATATTTTTTTTATAACTGTTGTTACTTCTTATAATTTTATTTTTTTTTGCTCAAAATTTTCTCAATTTTTTTACGAATAATTTTCTCTTTTGAAACAAAACAAAAATTTGAGCATTGAAAAATTGAATAAAATCTTCAGATTCACGAATAATTTCATTTCGAATCAAAATACGGAAAATATCAAAACCTGATTCTTATCAATTCCACCGTCTTGAAGTTCAGCTTCACCCTGCTCCTGAAAGGTGATGATGATCAAAGCCACGAAAATGTTCACGAAGAAAAAGGGAAACACAACGAAATAGACGATGTAAAATATGGCCATTTCCATTCGATAATACGGAATTGGCCCCTTATTCTCGTAGCTTGCTGCCATTGAATTCATCAGCACACTGAAAATGAATTTTTTTGTCAATTTATTTTTTATTTGTTCATAATTCAAGTATTGTTTGAAGTGTTCATTCTTTTCAATAACACGATTTGTTAATTGAATTGAATAAGCAAAATTGATTGATGGGTTCAATTACGATAAGAAAAAAATATTGAAGAACTTTTGTATTGAATTCGTAATGACGCAGGGCAACCAAAAATATTTACGAAAATATAAAATATTTTTTTACATATTTCGGCCAATTTACCGGAAAAAAATATTTATAAATATTTGGCGACTTTTGAGAGATTTCATAAATATTTCACCATATTTCAGACTTTTCGTGTCAATAATTTCACTATTTCTGCCTTTGAAATCAATGTATTGCACACTTGCGTCGTTCATCAATGCTTTTTGTGTATAATATTTCGGTTTAGCAATCGATTTTTAAATCTAGTATCCTTTGCTGTCCACTACAACACACAGATTCACTATGTGTACGAGTTGTATGGCGCGACAACAGCGCTCGTGCCAGTTCGCACAATGCTTATATAGAGCACGAAAGAAAGTGAGAAAAGAAATAATCCTAATGTAAACAAACAGCACGGTCTATTGTTTTAGTGCAAACGGTTTCTTGGGAATGTAACGTGACACTTCAGTTTGGACATCGAATCTGAAATGTTCATACGCTGCATTTGAAACAGTTTAAAAATGCCGAAAGAAAATTTGCGAACATTCTTTGGCAGAGTTGTTAAAGAGCATCCAAATGAATTTCAAACCGATGGCTCAGTATTATTCTGTAAAATGTGTGATGTTGAAGTGGCTGCAAAACAAATGTCGCAAGTGAAACAACATATAATAACAGGCAAACATGTGGCTAGCGTGAATCGAAAAGGGGGAAAGTCTGGTGGCAAAACACAATAACTGCTCACAACGATTGATCAATCTGCCGAAAAATTGCGTGATACGAATGTTTTCAATATGGATTTGGCTGGCTGCTTTGTTAAATCAAATATTCCACTTTATAAAAGCGAATTTCGAATGTCTTGTTACTGGTGTGACGAAACTACAAGGAAAAGGAATGCCACTTGAAACTTCACTCGAAATTGTTGAATCAATTCGCACTAGCCTTCAGTCAATGCGTAGTAGGACTGAATTTTTGAACAAGTTTGATAGAGTTATCGCACGCAACAACGGATTTCTACAAATGAAAGAAATCTCTACAATTTTGAGCAAGGGAAAATCAACACGTCAAGATAACTTCATTGATATGCTGTCACCGGAAGAGCTGAGTTGTTTTTTGTATGCACCAATTACCTCATGTGATGTAGAGAGAACATTTTCAAAGTACAAACAAGTTCTGGGAGATCAACGTCGTTCGTTTTCATTCGAAAATTTAAAAATGCATGTCGTTATTTATTGCAATAGCTTTGATTAGTCTTTGGCTAACGTACTTTCTTTAAAAAACGCCTAAAAGTTGCTATTTATAAGGAAATTTAACGGTTTTTAATAAAAATATTTTAAATATTTTCGTAAATATTTTAGACTTTTCCATAAATATTTCGACGATTTTTCGTAAATATTTACATAAATATTTTGGACTTTTTCATAAATATTTTTGGTTGCCCTGGTAATGAGGTTTTGGATTCGATAAAAAAATAGTTCGCTTAAATGCAATTTCTATTTTTTAATTGATCAAAACCGCAATTTTCTTGGTAAAATTGCCGTGCATCTGTATGAAACCAAAGAGTTGCATCAATTTAATTTCTTTTTTGAATTAGCGTTTTTTTTATTATAATCATTGAACCAATCAAACATAGGGTTTAAAAACGCGTTATTTTTTTTCAGTGTTTCCTTAAAACGTTTTTTTTTACAGAGCCGTTATATAACGCCCAAAAAATATTTTTTTTGTTTTTTATCGTTATTTCTGCGGTATTTTGGACTGTCAAAAAAAAACACTACAGAAAAATCACGTTTTTATAACACCGTTTGCGGAATTTGTCGAAACGTTTGTAAACCCTAATCAAAGATAATTGGCCATGAAAAAAAAGGTCGTCAAAAAAATGGTCATGGAATGTCTCTTGCAAAATGAACTCACGTTGGCCATCCTTCAGTGGTTTGCACCGCAAACAGAGTCAGCATTGCCGAAGCGACGTTATTGTAATGAAAACTCTGTAGATCCCATACTCGATCCTCCTTCTTCGGCAATGTTTCACCTTCAGTGAATACAAAATACGATCCCCTTTGGAAAAATTCGATAGAAAAATGCATTAGATTGACAAAATTATGAGAATGTGGTCAATATTTTGATCATCTTGAATAAATTTTTTGATTAAAATCTAGATCAATTCTTTTGATACGATTTAAAAAAAAATCAATTTTCCAAATGAAATGAAACTCACTTGCAATCTTTTTCGTTATGTTTGCTTTCATCGTTGCAGTAAAAAAATTTGCCATTGAACAGTTGCACTCCGATCACAGCGAATATGAATTGAAACAGCAAATAAACGATAAGAATGTTGACGACATTCTTCAATGATCCAACAACACAGTCGAAGACTGCCTTCAGTTTGGGAATTCTTTTAATGGTTTTCAAGGGTCGTAACACGCGTAAAACTCGAAGTATCTTCATTGTGGCACTGTAAAGAGTTGAAAAAAAAATTTCATTGAGCTTCATGGTATACCGGAGTAATTGCGGTTTTCAATGGTCTTATTTTCAGGTATTTCATAGAAAAGTTGTTTCAAGTGCAATTGGTTACTCACAAAAATTTAAATCCAAAACTCAACAATGCACAAACAACAACGATCGAATCCATAATATTCCAAAAATCACGCAAATAGCTGCCCGGGTGAAAAATCACGCCCAAATCGATGATTTTCAGTACCATTTCAACGGCAAACACAGCGGTAAACACATAATCCAACTTTTCGAGCATTAGATTATGCGGCGAGTGTTCCACGACTGGATCTTCGGAAGCAAGAGCTATCGATGAAAATCCGATGAATATCATGATGAACCAGTCGAAAAACCGATAATTCACGAACCAATGAACGCCACGCCGGATTCTGTGGGAAGAAAGAGAAAGTATTAAAAAAAAAACTTGTTCAATTTTTCATCTACAGACTTTTTTGCTAACTAGCGCTATTTAATTCTTTTCAAAATTCGAAATAATTTCATTTTCGTCTAAACCAAAATAGTGATTGAAGATAATTACGGATTTGTTGGCGATAATATGAACATGCACGAATACGGAAGCATTGGCTTTGGTCCGGTCCCTTCTTCGTCGAGAGTCTTTGGTTTTTCTTCTTCAACTTTCTCTGGCACTATAGTAGTTTCTGGCACTCCACTCTCACCTTGAAGCGCTTCCATTTCTTTTTTGAGCTCTAGCAGCTGCTTTTCGCGATCCTCTTCGGCTTTGCCCTCTTCGGCGGCTGTCAACTCTTGCGCATTGGCCAAATTATCGACGGCAATGGCCAAGAACACGTTCAACAGCGTGTAGTTTCCGAAGAGAGTCAAGATTATGAAGTATCTGGGGAGGAGATGAGAAGATAATTAATTGACTTACAGCAAGGCCGATGATTTAAAAATTCTGGCAAGTGAATAAATTTTACGAAGAAAAAGCCGAAAAATTCGTACAAAAATTTGACAAAAAAATCGATAAAAATCCCAAAATTACTCACGACGAATAAATCATTCCATTTCCTTGGATGCCACCTTGTGATTCGATTCCCATGTACATCACTTCGTTCCAATCTTCGCCGGTGAGAATTTGAAAGACCGTCAATAGTGCTATGCCAAATGTATTAAAATTCGAAGATGGCGTTCCCTCTTCAAAATTGAATTGACCACCTGAAAGAAATCAAATTGTTTCGATAAATTTTGAGTTGTTTCCACTGAAACCTTTAAAAAGCACAGCTCTACGAGCTATCTTACCAAACAGTTGCATTCCCAGCATCGCGAAGATCATGATGAACAAGAACAGCAGGAAAAGCAATGAGATGATCGATTGCATTGAGTTCATGAGTGAGATGACAAGATTTCGTAGCTCCTTCCAATACGCGGTAATTTTGAAGATGCGTAATAGACGTAGGGCGCGTAGTACGGAGAAACCGAACGAATCGCCCTTGTAATGTGACCAAATGATTTCAAATAGTGAACCAAATATCACAATACAATCGAAACGATTGAACGATGACTCAAAGTATTTCGATGGACCGATTGCATAGATTTTTATGCACGTTTCCGACATAAACAACGCGAGAAAAACGTATTCAGTATAAACTGAAATGAAATATTAGATATTAGAATTGGTTTTACACAAATAACTAAACTACAACTAGCAGTTTCTAATCTCGCTATGATTATTATCTGGGTATAAACTAAGGATATTGCCATTCAAATCATCATTGGAACATGCATGTTTACAATTTTCGACTTACTTTTAATTTCAAATGCATTTGAAATTAACGTGTTAATTTTTAAAAAAAGCAAATACACAATTTTCAGAAGCAAAAAATGTGAAGAGACACAATTTGAATACGAGGAAAAAATACACTTACACAAAAAAGCCGCTAAAAATGGTGGTTGATTGTAATGCTCAAGGGCTACAGTGACAGTGTTGAGGAACACCAGCACTATCACGAACCAATAGAACCATTGCTGCTTAACCGTATGACGAATCCAAAAACGGAATCGCTTTTCGGCTATCCAAAAATTGCCCTCACGCTCTTTTTTCTTCGTCGATTCTGCAATTAGACGAGGATTTTATTTTTTATTCTCATTGCAATAATTGATTCTTTATATGAAAGTAATCATCAACTTCTTCCATTCTGTGATTGTGATGTCGCATAAATCGAGAGTGTTTGATAAAATCACGAAAATCTGTGAAAATTGCTCTTTCAGTCTTACCTTCATCATCGTATGCACTGTCCTCTTCAGTGTCCGTTGATTTTGTCTTATCTCCAGCGTTCAATTTACGCTTTTTGAGTGCATTCCGACGACGCACTGCATTTTGATCCAATGAAAATAATGGAAAAGATTGAATTAGAATAATGAGGAAATATTGAACGTGAAAAATGTAAAAAAAAAAAACTTTAAAAAGATTCAACATTCAAATTTTAAATATCGATTTGGAGTTTGGAATGCCAATTTTTTTTTTACCAGTTGCTTCAATGAAAATAGAAACAAAAATTATTTTTTCCGATGCAAAAAAATTCTTTCAGAATTGAAACAATCGTAATTTCGGCCGTTGATGCCGATGATTGAATTCCAAATGATTTTTTTCGAATTAGATTTGATGGAGAAAATGCGGATATTCGAATTACCGTTTAAAATATGTTGTCTCTCTTCTTCAGTGGTACGGTCTTCGGTCAATATGACTTCCTCTGTATTTTGGATCAGGAGAAAAATTTTAATTTTCATTAAAAAAAATAAAATGTTGGAGCAAAAAATAGATTTTCAAAAAAAAAATAGAAAAATCGATTTAATTAAATCAAAAAATTACCCGCTCTGCACACCCATTCAACATATCCATCCAGCTCTCGCTCTACTTGCTGTGCTAAGCGTAGCTTCAAAAATTCTTGTCTATTTTCGACTTTTTCACGCTCTTTGGCGAATTCTCTGTGAACAAGATAGGTCATGTTTGAACAAAAATCGGCGTAGCAAAACAAGAACGAATGAAATAGTTCAACAAAAGAGATAATCTCACCCGCTTAAAACGCCGAGAATTAAATTCAACATAAAAAACGATCCGATTATGATCAATGGAATGAAGTAGAGCCAGTTGTAAGTTGGTCCAAGGGCATCATTTGTCCAGTACCTATTTGAAAATTCAATGGATTGAGTTAAATGCCATGACTATAAATTATTGTTATTAAATATGAATCAATGCATGTCTTGTCTCCGTGCCCACCAAATCGTGCTTGCAATTGCATTTTTGTATGTGGATCGAATGGAAAATTCAAGATTGCATTCATTTAAAATTCTAAAAGACAAGTCTAAAAACACACTGCCTGTGCACACTGCACATTCATTAAAAAAAAATGAATTAAAAAAATGAAATCGTTTCTTGCTTACATGATGGGCGTCCATCCTTCCATAGTCACACATTGAAACACTGTGAGCATGGCGAAGCCAATGTTGTCAAAACTCGTGATACCTAAATCAAACAAATGGAATGGGTTATTTGAATTATACAATTGTCAGTCAATCCATTTTTTTTTTTTCTTAAGTACCTCTATTTGGTCCTACCCAACCTTCGAAGCATATGCTAACATCTTCTTCACAGTGATGAGCACCAGGCTTGCTGTCCAAATTGCATGGCACATCTTTGTTGTTCTCCTGCACCGTTTCCCCTATTGAACAGATTTAATTTGGAAGGTTGAAAACTCCGTTGAAAAATTTGCTATGGCTCCACCAGTGCCAACGCTATCACAAATTCAATTTTTTAAATCACATATTTCAAACGCAACTTACATCTATTTTCCACGCTGTAGCAACTATTGTGCAGCGCGCCGGAATAGAATTCCAAACCGATGATGGCAAAAATGATGATGGCGAACAAGACGAGCAGTGCGATTTGCAGCAATGGAGCCATTGCTTTTAAAATTGAAAACAGCACAACTTGAAGACCTAAAACAAATTCACAATAACGTTAACAAATGCGTAAACAGATGCCCATTCACCATGGAAGTGATACATAATGAGTCAGACGTGTACAATCTAAACACTGTACGTATCTAGAAACATAAAGAAGGTCTAATTAAAAACAAAAACAAAAACTCTCTATTTACTTGGTACTCGAGCGACTAGCTTTAACGGTCTCAAGACGCGAATAGCTCTAAGGATTTTCAGATTCATTTTGCCACGAAGTGCAGGAATCATCGTGAGGAGTCTAAAGTGGAAAATATAAACATTGACAACGCTAAGAAAACACTGTTCACATTTAAAAAGAAAAAAGTAACGAAAAAATGGGACGAAATTTGAGTCTACTCAATACATGATTATATGGAGAAAAATCGGTCAAAAATGGCATGAAAATGTACGTTAAACCGGAAAAAAAACGTGAATGAAGGAAAAAAAAAAATGAAATGGAAAAAAATTGACGACATTTATGTATATATGTGTCCACTATGACGTTCATACTAAGAGTAGAATATTGGTGGAATAAATTGTTGTATAATAATTGTTATTGGTTAAATATATTCTCAGTAGAATTTTTTCTTAGAAATTCTCAGTTCTTGCGTTAGACTTACGCCGATGTGATGACAACGAAATCCATAATGTTCCACACATCTCGCAGATACGAATTGGGATGTAGAACTAGGCCATTTGCGAGAATTTTGCACACAGCTTCAACACAGAATATGCCCAAGAAAATTGGTTCGGCCTCTTCGAGCTTCATCGCTAACGGTGTTCGATCGTTATCCGGCAAATGCTCTTCCATTGCCATTGTGACGCATGTAGCGATGATGGTGATTAAAACGGTGTATTCGAATGGCGGCCATTCGATTATAAATTTGAACAGTCTTCGAATTGGATTGGTTTCGCTGAGGATAAACAGTGCGGTGGGGCCATTGCCCGGTTCAATGACCGCCGCTCCTTTTTTGGACTTCTTTTTCGATGAAACCACTTTCACTTTGACATTTTGACCGGAATTCGTTGTGGTGGCCGTCATTTGGGTGTCTACTTTTGCACTTGATGACGCTTCTTGAGCAGCGGCACTTTAATGGTTGGTTCCAAAATAGAGCGTGCAATAAATGGAGGAAAGATATAGGAGAGAAAAAAATGAAACGGAATTAATTGTGATTTTTTTTTGGAGGCTGAAAAAGTGAAAAATGAAGTAAAGAATAAGAAAGAGGTAAAAAAGAGAATGAAAAAAAAAATCTGTGATGACAAAAATATTTTCATCCCTTTAAAGAAGTATTTCTCATCTTGAAAAAATGTTGTTTTGTTCAATAAACAAATGAATTCTTGAAAAAAATATAGAAAAATGTAAAAAAAAAAAAACGATTTTTGATTGAAAATAAGGTGAAAATCATCCAATTGCTCCTAGTTTGCTCAATTCAATTGCTTAAAATGGTACAATTTCGATTTTGATTATAGAATCTGTGCTTCATTCTTTCGACTCACATCAATTCAATCCTTTTTTTCTTATTATTTCGTTCGTTTTTTCATTCATTTGTCGAGAAAATTCAATTTACCACCGCTTGAAAAGTAATTTTAAACGATAATCGCAATCATTTGTAAAATTTGCAACGTTTTCCCGTCATTCTCATCTCGAATGTTAAGTCCACTGTTTGATTAAAACCAATAAAAATGCCCATTTTCTCTCTTAATAACGAGCGCCAGAGAGCGACTTCTTTTTTTTTTCATTTATTTCACGACTTTGACACACAGTGTTCCAAGTTTATTGCTCTGAATATAACCTTGATGCCCACATGTGTTCCGAAGTCAATCCAATTATGCCCGGGTTAAGAAGATGGCACACGGCCAAAAGTGCTTTAGCAAACGCGAATGGCTTGTCTTTGTCAGCTCAAGCCCATTCCGAACAGAAGTAATGAAGTGTGATTTATATGGGTGAGCTTATTTATTGGCGGAAAATCGATTCATTTGTTTGCGACTTTTGCAGCACAAAATAATTTCCTTCGAAATTACTGTGCTTTTCAAACACACTCACACACAGTGCGGAAGTTGCGTACAAGTATTTTGGCTGTAGTTTTCATCAAGAGGCACATTGTCTTTCGATTTATATTTCGATTCTTTCTTTTCATGTTCGTCCTTCAATATTCCTTCTTTTTCCGATATTCCTTTTTTGTGTGGATATTCGTCGTTTAATATTCGCTTTTTGTTTTTGTTTTTTAATTTTCTTTTTTCGCAATGTTCGTCGTTCAAGTGCAAAAGTTGTTCCGTTCCGTTCGTTCGAGGGCCTTTTGGATGTACGAATTTTTCAACTGAACGCAATTTAATGGACGTGTTTTTTTTTCGCTTTTTTTATCTTGGTTATTTTATCTCCATGGTTATAATAAACGATTATAAATCTTAACAAAATGACTACGACAACGATGGTGTTCTTTTTTTTCTTCATTTAAACTTTTCCAAAATGAAAACTGCGCTCTTTTTCCCTCCGTATAAACTATTTGCACTTTTCCATTTTTCCATCGTTCACGTAATATATTCGTCGTTGTGGGTTTCGTTCTTTTTTACTTTGCGTCAACAAACACATTCTCCATGTTTTTTTTTTTTTCCTTCTTTGCTCGTTTCACTCACTCGGTCGCTCTCTGTGTGTGACTTCACGCTTTTCAACCAAAAAAATCGGAACCATGCCGAAAAATGTAACTCACATGTTTTAGGTACATCACACAATTTGTTTTGCACAACTCATAAAATCAATTATTTATCCCATTTGAAATTTTCTTGGCTCTCATAACAATACGATATTTATGACAATTGTTTTGGCTACGGAATTTTTTTTTTTTTAATTCACTTCCACCGAATTAGGCCCGTTTCACTACACGTCTGTTTTTCTTCTGCAGAAACGCGCACACAAACAAAATACCGACACCACTCACACGAAACAAGGTAAGCCGTAAACAGACTCAACGCGCGCGTCGTTGTCGTTGTCCGACAACAACCCCAATATAGCAGCAAAGCTTTTTCGCTCTTTTAAAATAGGTCATTCGCAATATAGGTCACTCAACCATCGATGTCATTGAACTCATTCAACTGGATGCGATGGAATGGAATGGAGAGAGAGTGTGTGTTAGAATGGACATTTTTGAACACACACACACACACACAATTTTCGAAACACGGAATATTTCGGCGAAAGAATTTCGAACACGATGACATTTTTCGGAAGTCGTTCCAATTCATGCGAATTCAATTTTTCGATGTGGATAATTTCAATTAGAATAGTTTCGGATGGGACATTTTTGTTGTGCAGTTCGGATTGCAGTAATCGGCATCGGTTTCAATGGAAATGAAATGCCATAGAGTTATTGTGCAGGAGACACTTTGTCTCGACGCTCAATTGATACATAGCGAAAAACGTACATTTTTCACATGGTTTTTGTCATTTTTGCCGTCGGTACGAATTTTATTGGCGAATTTTTGAGGAAGTTTTCTGTTCCGTTTTATTTTTTTTTTTCGTATTTAATTTTTTTCAACTTATAATAATATTAGAACCACCAAATGTTGGATTTTTAATCGTGATTTCTATCCGTTTTTAGTATTTTCTTTTCATTTTCACTTTATTGCATTATTTTAGATCCAGAAAAAAATTGGAACTTCTGCATTTAACGATTGAATTCCTAAACTTTTAAATTTTAATTTCGTTGATTTCGGCTTTTTATTGAAAGAATAAACTGTTTTTTTTTTTTAAATTCCGATTCCTACCGAGATTTTATTTTTTTCTCTTTCTTTCCAAAAAATTTCAGTTTTTTTTCTCGCAAGTCTCAAAAACACATTCTCACATTCTCTCAAAGTTCAATCCTGCAAATTAAAATTATTATTGAAAAAAAATGAACATTTTTTTGCATATGAAAACTGAAACTTTGCAAAAGCCCACTTTAACTCAACTAAAATCACCAATCATTCTAGGCATCACACTTTAATTGTTCGTTTTTGAATATTTTTTCAGAACTTTTTTCGATATTTATTCGATACCAACCTCCCCAAACTCCCCATAAACTTCAAAATCTCCCATAAACTTACTCAAAGAAATCCATGTTGCTATCCGTTCACCGAATCCTTTGTTCCAAATCGAAGAAAAATTGCCGCACAATCGCAACTAAATGGCCCGGTTCACCAGTTCACATGGTCATGACCATGGTTTGGCATTCGATTATTGCGAGAAAAAGAAATGTCTATCTCTTTCATTGAGTTTATTCCATAATAAATTGTTCGGTCTTTGTTCACATCTCACGATTTCATTGTTCGATTCTAATTAATTTTTTAAGAACTGTCGTCAAAATGATAATTTTTATTTACAAATTTCCACTCTTGAATTGATATCTTGCAGTTAAGTTGTATCACAAAATTCAAAAATATTGGCACTAATAATGGGATTCAATAGATTTTCACATCATACGCTTTTATCCTCTTAACAATTCTTGCAATGTAATAATTTTAGAGTTAACAATTTTAACAGAAACAGATTCCGATTATAGTGGTTGATGTAACAGATTTAAAATGAAGCACTTGATATTTATTGCTGGAGTCGCGGCTTTGATTTGTATTGGATATTTCTTAAAAGAATCACGTTCTTTATTGCCATTCAAAATTTCGTTAAAAGCTAATGTGTTTCATCGTTTGTTCTTCATTCTTTTCAAAGTCACTTGATATCCCATTAAAAATGTAGACTATATACACCAGTGACTTCGCTACTGTCTCTGTGACTCCCAAATTTAATGTAACTGCAAGCAATTGACTTGCATCCACAACGAGAGTTGGCAAAAAATGAGCAACGATTGCCAAATGTGCCAAGTCGTAAAATTCGGTTGAATTCAAAATAGACACGGTCACGTACACACACATGTCGTACACGAAACTCGTTCACTCACTCACGCACGCACGTACGCACCACCACTATCGACGCAGTCGGCGAAAATATCTATGTGCATAAGTCAAAATAATAACAAACATGAATCAGTTTTGCCAGCACACATTCAGTAGGATGGTGCCATTGGGCATATACACACAGTGTGGCTGACACAAGAGCAACGACGACGACGACGACGGCAACGATGAGTGCCAGAACGATAACGACCACGACGATGACACACAATAATATTTTCCACTTTCGACATTTTCCCTAATGGGATTTTCCCTGCAAACACTTAAAAAAAGAACCGAACCCAAACACCTAATATCAACCAAACGAATGGATTGTATGAACCGAACGAAACAATTTTGATGAATGAAGCACTTAATTTCTAGTTTGCCAACCATTGTTTGTTCCACTGATAATAATAAATTATATTGGCTCACGAAAATCTATTCTCGCATAAAACCAATCTGCAATGGGATAATTATTCACACTCGCTCACTCGCACACAGACACGAACAAGTTTGGTACACGTATAGCGTGTTCTGTTCCACCAAATATACTCACTCACTCACACACACACACTCAGCCATTTCAGTGAGTGCGGCCAGAGAGCGAGAGCGAGTAAACAACGTTTTCTCTGCTTGCACGCACCATCTCAACTAAACGGTACAAGCACATGTTTACGCCGCATAAGCGTAGATGGGTGAAGTTTTTTTTTCTCGCTTGAACACACGGGGAAACACCATCGGAAAATACCGCATCGATGTTCGCATCGGCAGACATGCTGGCTCCGAAACGCTGTGTGTGCCATTCTTCACACACGCTTTTGCCACCATGCAAACTCTGTTGCTCTCTTTCTTTTTACTACAGCCCATCACTGTGTAGCACTTTTGATGCTTTGTTTGGCATTCAGGCAGGTTTTTTTTCCCTTTTTATGCTTGATTTGTGCGACGGAGGCGAATACAAATTTGTGGTGGAAAATATGCAAACGTTTATGGTATACGCCGGTGCAGATACAGAACAATGGCTGTGTGTGGCACGTGACAATGCAACAGTTGACAAATTATGCCTTTTTCCGCGTTTGGTTCGCGTCTTTTTTCTTCGCTTCTTACTTCTCCTTTTTTTCAGGTTGGCAACGAGCATGTTGCCAGGTTGAGTACTTTTGCTGCGGGCGAGTGTGCACTTTGCAGCATGTGAGTGAAAGGAGTGGATGGAAAAGTGACTAAAAGAACTGTGTGGATGAAATGAGTGAAAGGAAGAATGACTATGACACATGTGAGCAATACGCATCGCAATAAAATATTGAATGTGCCAATTGGTGGTTGACTGGGTCATGCGCATTGATATTGAGCACAAATCGCATTAGAATGAATGTTTCGCATTTGAACACTTTTCCAATTGGAGGACATGATTTAGATCAACATGCTCAAATAGGTAGAAAAAAGTCAATTCTACGCCGTTTTACTGAAAAGTCGATTGAAATAAGTTGAATGCGTGCTCGTTATTACGGAGAGGTGTTCGTTATTGGGTGGTAACGAGTCTAAATCAAAAAAGTTTTAATTCTTTCAAGCTAAAATCCAAAAATTCAGTACAAAGAAAAATCTTTGGATTTTCTGTTTTTTTTTCTGACTCTCATGCATCACTTGTATTTAATTTCAAATTGTTCATTTTTATTATTTTTATAACAAGGTTATTATCGTCATTATTTTGGATTGATTGAATTGAAAGAGAAATTTCATAATAGAATTTTCAATTGAATACATTTGAAGCCATTCGTTTATTCGATCTCCTTATCTCTATTGACTAGATCGAGAGGAGAGTAAGTTCATCTGACTTTGTTGTGAAAGAGAAGAGTAAGTTTCTTTCGACTCCAAAATGGTTAAAGGCGAGTATGTTCATTTTTGGCGGGTCCTCGCGGTTTTCCACGGTTTTCGCGGAACTGATAAGAGATAACAATTTGGTGTCTTCGGCAAAGTTGTAGCACTCGAGGTCTTCTATAACATTGCTGAAGTCAGTTATCTCTTATCTCTTATCAGCTCCGCGAAAAGCGCGAAAAATGTCAAGAAAAAAAAGTTCTATATAAAATTTGCTTTTTTATGTGCGCGATTTGCGCGCAACTGATAAGAGATAAGAGATAGATGTCTTCAGCAATGTTAAAGAAAACCTCAAGTACTACAACTTTGCCCAAGACACCATGTTGTTATCTTTTATCAGTTTCGCGGAAACCGTGAAAAACCGCGGGGGCTAGACGGGATGCCAACATACTTCCATTTAACGCAGATAGAATCAACAGAAATCATACTCTTCTCTTTCAAAATATATTAGAATTTTTTTACATACTCTCCTCTCGATCTAGTCAATAGATCTCTTCTTCTCTTTTTTTCATTTTTTTTCTTTGTTCTTACGAATTTCATTATTTCGGAAAATTATTGTTCACACTGGCATTGAAAAATGGCATTTTTCACCCAATAAAAAGCGATTTTAAGTAAAGATGAACGAAAAACTTGAATTTTCAGATCAAATTGCTTGAAATTTTTTCACGTCATAAACTATAATACAGTCTCTAATTTAAAATTTATCAAACCTGATATGATTTTGGGTCAGGAAATCGTTTAGTAAAATGCTTCAATAAAACCATAATCCTTGGACCATTCGTATGAATTGGCTCGCTTTATCTCGACCAAAGAGTGTGCAATGGTCTTCGTCGCCCATTTTGTCTTCAGATAAGTCCGTTGCGGTACAAAAATTGTCACTTTTCTCGCTCCCATCAGCTTTGCACCTTCTGTTTGCCATGTCCGAAGGCTACGAATCTGGTGATCAAGCAAATCGGTGTCGTATTCGATTCGAATCTTTGTCAATTTGATTGAATGTCGGACAAATGCTGATATGGTCTCATGAATTTCATCCATTGTGCTGAAGCTAATGTACAGTTGTTCAAGATGTGAAAGCCTCTTGGCTACTTCTTCCAGATTCAGTGCTTTGACGTCTCGATGACAGCTGATGCCCAACTCTTTCACATTGTCCAGAATTGGCATGGCTGATAATGTGACACGTTTTTCACTGGTGATTAGATAGAGCTTTTCAACGGGACATTGCAACAAATTCAACCGTTCCGGAGCGCTGTGTGTGTCATACAAATGCAGACGTTGATAAAAGCCTCGCTGATAAAGGTCGTTCAACACATCACGATACTGATCGAATGCCGTCCATCTTGAGTGAATGTTGCAAACTATCAATGTATCAAGTTTCGCGTCGGTTGCCATCAACACATGTATGTTCTTCTCAAGCAATTCAGCATTGATCGCAAAACTACGCACACTCGGATTCATCTC